TATATATATTACACATTTTTTAATGTAAAATAAAAAAGAGAAATTTCTCGAAATTTATTTTATGTATGTATGTATGTGTGTGTGTGTATGTGTATATCGTGTGCAATGACTTTAGTATAGATGAGACAATTGAATCAAATTACATATACAGGTGTGATATAAACCTTTCTCTTTTATGTATATATATATATTTCACATATTTTTCCAAATATATTTATATTACCTAAAAAGATCCATGTATATTTATAAAATAAAAAAAATAGAAATTTCTCGAAACTTATTCTGTGTACGTGTATATGTTGTGTGCAATGATTTTAGTAGAGACAATTGAATCGAGTTACATATATACACTAAGAGTAGAGTGAAATAAAATATATATGGATTACGTCCAATCGCGCAAGCAATATTTACCAAACGCCAAAGTATCAATATAGGAAATGAAAAGAAAACAATTACACAGTACCTCTGCCAGTGAAAGCCCTTCCGTGCGAGACAATATCCCGGTTGCATTGAAACGGATGCAAATTCGGATGCGAAACTTAATATCCGTTTATCGGTACGCGTGTCCCGAAACGACCGCAATAAACGCACAATCGATGCGTGGAGTCTATTGTGATTCGACGAAACCACCGATACACGATCCATCGCCGCGTTCAAATACCACCATCGAAACTTGTTCGCGCTTTTAATCGCAATGACGTCGTTTTAACGGCAACTATGTGACACGGTTGCGCCATCTTACGTCAGCGAAGCGAGAAATCAAATATGGCAGCGTAACTACCGCGGAGAGATAAAGTACATAGACTAGCTACCGATGTCCGATATCCAATAGAAGAGCATGTTTTCTAGTGACTTTAGCTAGCAATATTTTTGGCTCCAAAATAGGAATTGAACAAAACTGTAAAAATTTGCAAATTAGTTATTAAATAACAGGAATTTTTCTACTTATATCTTATTTTTTCCAAAAAACAGTTATAAAATGAAGTCCATTTACTCTAAAATTTTTATTCATGAAATTTTAAATAAACGGGAAACTTTTATTTTCTTGAAAATAGAAAAAAGTTGCAGATGATCAAGCAGTGAGAACGAATATTAATGAAAATAATTTGGAAAGTATCTTACTTTTAAAGTTAAATCTTTTTCTTCTGTCTATCTTGTTTTTAATTCTTTAGATAATATTAATTAAAACAAGTTCTATCTTTTATATTTTACCTTAAAATAAACTTAAACTTTAAAAAATATATGTTTCTTCAGAACATAATTTTTAAAATAATGAATATAAAATAAAACTGTTAAAAATGACTTTTTACAGCAATGTTTAATAAATATTAATGTAAAAATTTAAACTCAAAGCAGAAAAAAAATTATTTGAAAGTTATAAGTTCACAAATATTTTTTATTTATAAAAGTTTTATTCAATCCCTGCTCTAAAAACAAAAATTTTATATTGGATATAGATCTCGGACACTGTGTGAATCTATGTATATTTATATCTATGCACGCGGAGACTTTCCGCGAAAACAGAATTTGACAGAATTCCGAAAGCGGTTAAAGAAAGAGGACGGTGGAAAAATGTTTATAGTGACGAAAGAGATTGACAGCGAGAACATTAGTAAATTGTGTCGCACATGCTTGAGGGAAGACGGCGACAAAATGGTATGCTTGTTCGTGGGCCCGGCTGGTTCGTCACTCGCCGCTAAATTACGATCGCTTTCTTGCTTGGAGGTAAGCGATATATCTTGTCTCTTCAAGTTTGTGAACGTATTTTGTGTGTTTTGGATACTCGTAGGTCTGGCAAGGAGATGGTTTACCGGAGAAAATGTGCGATCGTTGCGTCACCAGAGCAGAGTCGGCTCTTTTATACAGAGAACAATGCCGTGCAGCAGACAGAGCTTTGCGACAAGCAGCGTTGAAGGTACCAGTACAAATCATAATATATGAACAAATAATATATGGAATTATACAGAATATTTCTCTCTCTCTCAGAAATAATGGACAAACTTTGGGAGTAAGTTTTCCACACAAAAACAAGAAAAAAATGTCATATAAACATATGTTCAGAAATGCCTAGATTATGAATTATAATCGAAAGATTTCAACGACAAAAACTGACAGAATATATCTACAATGACACATGACCAATGAATACATCTTTAGTTCAATTGTTTATCTACTCACAATTTATAACGAATGCTCAAAATGTTCTTCACCTGCTTCAATGCACACTTGAACACATCAGATCGTGGACTGTCACATCCTTTCAAAGATCCCATGACGGTTGTGAATGGTTTCACAAGCATCTACGATGCATTGGTGAAGCGTCTCTTCATTTGCAATTTTAATTGCATAAACTAGAGCTTTTAAGTGTCCCCACAGATAAAAATGTAATGGATTTAAGTCAGGCCATGATACTGAATTGAATATAATCTTTTAGTTATAACTCATAAAACAGGACATTTCCGAACATAAGTATCTTTTCTTGTTTTTGTGTGGAGGACTCACCTCCAAAGTTTGTCCACCTATTTCTAAAACATCCTTGTATATGTAAAATTACAACCAAGTATATTTAAATAGGTATCTGGACTAACGTCGTACACTACCGTTTCTGGCTGCAAACTCTATCAAAATCAACAAAATCAAGGATTTATACCTGTGCAAAATTCTCACAAGACACTAAAGTGTGTGGAATGTGGTGCTGTGTTTACTAATTATCAAGAACTTTATGCCCACAATCGATTGCACTTGCCTTTTATACAGGATAACATACCTATGCAACACATGCACATTGTGGAATCTCAAAATCCGTATCTCAATTTTACTCATGTTGGGTCAAACTTTGCCAATGATAGTAGCATAAATATGCAATTATCTCCATCAGTCAGATCAAATATGGTGCATGCTATGTCATTGAACGAAGAAAACTCGAGTCGCGCTGCTTGTGCCTTACATTGTTCTTTGTGCAATCATACTTTTACCAATAGGAGACAATTAATAAGTCATAATATAACACATAGTACGGAACATGTTGATATATCGTGCGATAATGAAAATATAGAGATATGTGAAAATTCTAATCATATTCCACAAAATTTAAGTTACGAAAGGTCCATTCATTCTGTTGATAATCCCATTCAGAATCTATCGTATCAAAGATCCACTGTGGATGATAATGACGGAATGCAAAATATAAATTTTCCAGAGAATATTGATCTGGATGGTGTCCAAGAGAATAGTTCGGAGCGCATACAAAATGTAACAATACACTCTGAAAATAACGTATCAATCACGGAAAATTTGAGATTTATGAAGGCACCTGAAAAAGATAGGCAACTCGTAATCGAATATCACGGATGTTCAACTGATAATAGTTATAAACAATCCGATATAAAAAACACGGAAGATGTTCACGCGAAGAAGCACCAGTGTGAAGTATGTTTGAAACAATTTTCACAAAAATCTAAATTATTTGCTCATCAATTGTCTCATTCCGGTCAACAACCGTTCAAATGCCTGAGCTGTGGCAAAGCTTACGCATCAAAGAGCAAACTCAACGCGCACATGAGATTACACACCAAAACCAATGTGCATCAATGTAAGGTATGCGATAAAATATTTTCATATCCGTCGTATCTAGAGGAACACATAAAAGTACATAATAAAAGTGATAGCGATAGATCACAGAACAAGGAATTTGAATGTAGCACTTGTAATAAACGTTTCCAACTTTTAAAGAATTTGAAAGCTCACGAAAGACTTCATACTGGAAAAGGATTAGTGCAATGTGAGATTTGTGATAAAAAATTTAGTCAAAATTATAATTTAAAAATGCATCTACGAACACACAAGACGTCAAGGGTGCACAAATGCGAATATTGCGACAAGCGTTTTGTACAAAAAGGTAATTTAGTTGAACATTTACGGATCCACACTAAAATGAAGCCTTTCGTGTGTAAATTATGCGGTAAGAGATTTGCGCAATCAAGTCATCTTAAAAGCCATGAAGCCTCGCACGGCGCCTTGCGACAACATCAATGTCGATTATGCGGAAAGAGATTTAAACTAGCTAATCATTTAAAACGGCATTTAAATTTACATACTGGTTCAAAGATGTATAAATGTAATCAATGTAACCAAATGTTTTCACAGTCTTTCAGTCTGACAAGACATTTAAAAAGGCACAATGAATCACATATATAATTTATTTGATAAATGTAATTTATATGTACATAAAAAATTGTGTTTTCTATATACATATTATGTACATAGAAAAATGAATGGCTATTGTAAAAACATATTTTATAATTGCAAGGTTTTCTTAAATCTATATTCATATAATTAAATATTATTTTTATTTTCTTAATTATTGTCTTCATGCTCTATTGAAGAATAAAATAAAATCTGAAATCTTAAACGAGCTTTTCTTGGAGTAAATTAGATAATGAACAAAAACAATGTTTTACTTGCTAATAAAACAACTTTTTACTTGCTAAAAATATGGTTATCATGTAATTTTGACGAAATTTTATATCCTTTACATGTAACTTTTTAGGACTGTAATTAGAATATTTATGCCTTCTCGTAGTTGCTCTTCCGTGATTGTTAATGGTGGTGATATCCTAATAATTTGACCGTGCGCAGGTCTCGACAACAATCCAGCATCTATCAGCTTCGAACAGATATCCCAACCATCAGCAAACTCTATAAACAAAAGATTCATCAAATACTTATATCATATATGACAAGATTTAGTATCTCTTGTATAGGTATAATACAGAAACGTTGCTCGACGTATAATCTATTTATCATTTTATCTTTTCGTATAAAGATATCGACAATACAGAATAAAGTTGCAAGATATGATTCGAAATTTCCGTGCGCATCAGCAAATATTTTTATCTTTGCTCGTATCACGATAACAAAGTTTTAATTTGTCGACCATTTATCGGTGATAGCTTAATCGAGTAACTTGTTGATGATACCTTTGTTGATGACGAGGCCAGCCAAAAGACCACGTCCACGATATTCCGTCGCGATTTCCTTCGGCAGCTTACTCAGCTCTTCTTTTAGAATATTCCCGAGTCTCTTTGCGTTCTCCGCCAAATTCTCTTCTTCCAAGATTTTAACCGCCTCCAGGGCAACCCTATTTCCAAGCGGACTCCCACCGAAGGTACTTCCATGCGAACCCGTCTCCAAACAGAGCATTATCTGAAATTATAATAGATAATATATTAGATAATTAGTATGGATTTTTATCGAAACAATCGAGCGATTAGCATCGAATATAGCGGTACTTTGGAGCTTCTACGTGATGGTAAATATGCGTTATCGTACTTGCATACAATTTCAACAATTCAAGATGCGTGAACGAAATCATGATTATTAAAATATTTTATAAATTGTCTAAAATTACATGTATATTGAATAATAAGAAACAAATGTTTTTAACAGCTGCAATAAAGTCTTGTCGGATACCTCATCATCCGCCAGAACGCCAGATACCGGGTACATACCACCGGAAAGTGCTTTCCCCAAAATAAGGATATCCGGTCTATAACCTTCGTAATCAACTGCCAAACGCGTACCAGTTCTGCAGAGGCCAGTTTGCACCTCATCGGCTATCCATAAAATATTGTATTTTGTGCACAGTTCTCTTACACGTTTCAAATAACCATCCTGAACAAAACAGAAAGAAAAAAAAAGATATTGGCTACTTACAAAAAGGTAATGATATTGCTCCAGTTTTTTGATAGCTAGAACAAGTGCTCGCATTGTTTTCATTTAGCAAAGAAACAAGATACTCAAGTAATAATGAGACTTTTCTTTAATATTCTCATCACATACCAACAACAAAATTAAACAATGCTTGTCACACAATATTCATAATGCCATATATCTTTGCATTAACTTACAGTTGGCACTATTACACCAGCTTCTCCCTGAATAGGTTCCATCATGAACGCGCAGATATTGGGATTCTCTTGGAATTTTTGCTCCAAAGCAACCGGGTCATTGTATGGCACTTTCTCAAAAAGGGGTACATAAGGACCGAAATCTATGTAACAGTTTGGATCCGATGAGGCCGACAAAGCCGCCAATGAACGGCCCCAAAAATTTCCATTAGCGAACACAACGGTAGCTTTGTTACTCGGCACTTTCTTTATTCTGTAGCCCCAGCGTCTGGCCAATTTTATGGCTGTATCGCCACCTTCGACACCTATTGTAAGTAAAACAAAAAAAGTTATAAAATTTTGACAATTTTCCGCAATATAGGAATATAGAATTTATACTTCTTGTAAATAGTACTAAACAGACGATAAATCGGTTTTTTCCGATAATTACTAATAGGAATAAAAAAATATTATTATATTTTTTATAAAAATTCTTAAAATGAATCCACACCTGTGTTCATAGGTAAAAACCGATCCCATCCCAAAAGTTTCGTCAAGTATTCTCCTAATTCGCCTTGAGGTTCTGAGTAGAAGGCTCTTGATGTATGCGCCAGCTTTCCAGCTTGATCTCTCATGACTTTCACTAGACGCGGATGGCAGTGGCCCTGACTGACAGTCGAGAATCCCGCCAGAAAATCAAGGTAACGCTTTCCATCAATATCCCACAAGTAGACCCCTTCTCCACGGGATAGCACAACCGGTAGCGTTTTGAAGTGTATACCGCCGTACTTGTTGTCGCGATCGATCACTTGCTGGGTAGTCAAGAATCTCCTCTTTTCCGATTCTTTTACAATATTGAAGAACCTTTGCCTCACGGATTGCATGGTCATATTTTTTCACCCTGTTTATAATCGATAAATACGTTAATATACGATTGTTTTTATTTATTTTACATTATTACCTTTAATAAGTCGAAGTAAAATTATCCGAAAAGAAAAATAATAATTTATAAAATCGAAATATAATGAAAGAGAGAGACAATTAATTAATTGATAAACATAGTATTTTTATATGAAATAAGTCACTAATATAATATTAATATATGCACAAAAAACTACCGTCTCTTTTGTTCCTTAACACGAGTAACAGTATAAAATGCCGAGAAATAGTCTGATGACAATTCCGTCAATCTTGCTTTTATATCAAGTTGGTAGAAGATATGGCAAAAGATATGGTTGCTTATTTACTGGCATCATGTACACAAGCATTGCGACAGGTATGGATTAAAATAAATACCGTTACAAAAGAAATCATATCTGATAAAGAGTATAATACTGAAGGTATAAAGGGGCGCCAGTGTGCCAAAGTAAATGAATAATGACAAACAATAATCTGAGATAGCTTCTACATTAATGATACATAAAGAAAACAAAATTATTCAGTTTGGATTAAATTCTTTTGTTAATACAGTTTCCAAGCATCTTTTTTATCATTGTTAGGAATTTGATAGAATGATTATGGGTCTGTTTTTTATAACTGAACTGGCTGCACTAGTTTAGAATTTATCTTTTTCTCTCCACACTGGAAGGAGAAAGATAAGCTCTGAACTAATGCAGCCAGTTCAACTATAAAGAACAGACTTGTAATATATGCAAAAAAGATTAAATTTTTGAATAAATCTTGAAAATATAATACTTAAAAAAGTTTTGGATTATGTATCTTAATAACAGACTTTGATTTGTTAAATAATGTATATTTTACTCAGAAAATTAAAAATATAATAGACATAATATATGTCTAATATTTAATAGTAAAAATCACAATAAAAAAGAGAGAGAAGAAAAAGACATATATCATTCGTTCAGCTATTCATTGAGTTTATAATGATATAAATTGAATGAGTATATCTAGCCGGAAAACAGACATTTTATGAAACAAGAATCATACTACTCTGTGCTTTTACTACTTATTACAGTCTTGTAGAAATAATATCTATGTAGCATATCTCTCTCAGATAATCACATCACATATATTAGACATTATTTTATAATTTAGTTGTTTTTCATTATTTAATTAAGAATGAGAAATAATTTCGCGATATGATAAATTGATCGAAATAAAGCACGAAATAATCTCACGCGAATTATTATTTAAATGGCGATTGCAAAAAGTTACATGTATATATTTTTCGACATGTTTTATCTCTTTTTTTATTATTCTAGGAAAACATCATTATTTGCGTAGAGAACATTATCGTATTAAGCTTAATGGCTATTAATGGCCGAAACATAATAAATCACATACACGCATATACATTCTCTCGCTATGTTAGTCTTTATCATTATTGAGATAATAACATATGACGAGATAACAATACAATTCAAAATGACTTTCTCTGCATAATAGAAAAAATCATCATAAGCAACGATAATCGTATAAGTGCATTGCATCTATATGTCGTATTTAATCGCATCTCATGAATAAACAACATCTGCAATTTGATAGATATATCGTACGTCAATGTATGTCAATCGTTTAATCCTCGCAATATATACCACTTGATAATTTCAATCTGTCAAAAGTATCGAACTCTTTTGATAGCACTTGCATATTGTAGATTATCATTAAGATATTGCATGAACGTTATCGCGACGGATATTGTATCTTGTTCAAATAAAGTTTTATGCAACATGAGGTAGATTAGAACGATGTAGGTATAATGTATCAAAATGATAAATTGTTGATCACACATTTTTATTTGAAAAATACAATATAATTACAATTGGAATTGATAAAATATGCTAAAGTATACATGAGCTCACTTTAGATGATCTATAATTTGTGATAATCCGATAAATACAAAACAAATCTCTTTATATATCATACGTGACATATATCATATATCATATGCATTATATATCATATGCTGATATATGTGTATTTTATTTTCTTAAAATGTTTTCTATATTACATGACGTATAAAATTATAAATAGGAATCTGTTTCGAATTTTGTCGCAAATTATATAAATCGTCCAAAATAGACTTTAATGTATACTTTAAAATAATTATTTATATCGGATATTAGTTAATTATAAGTAGAAATAGTTTTAGAAATAATATCCGCGCACTCACGTATCTGTTCCTCCGTAATAACCAACGGCGGTGCCAAACGAATAATATGTCCATGTGTTGGTTTCGCCAGAAGCCCACGTTCCTTCAATTTCAAGCAGATATCCATAGCATCGATCTTTTTGTTAATGACGATGGCATTCAAAAGACCCTTTCCCCTTACTAAAGTGACCACGTCTTTCGGTAGCTTGTTCAATTCGTCCCTGAGCACATGACCGAGTCTTTCCGCGTTCTCGGCAAGTTTTTCTTCTTCCAGAACACGAAGTGCCTCGAGAGCGATCCTGCATCCCAGGGGATTACCGCCATAGGTAGATCCATGCTCACCGGGTTTGATGGTGAGCATAACGGAGTCATTTGCCAACACACCGGAAACTGGATAAAATCCTCCAGACAAGGCCTTACCAAGGATTAGGATGTCCGGCTTTACGTTCTCGTGATCAACGGCAATTCGCTTTCCTGTTCTCGCCAAACCAGTCTGTACTTCGTCTGCGATCCATAGGACATTATATCTTGTACAGAGTTCTCTGATTCCTTTCAGATATCCATCCTTTCCGGAAGAAAGATAAATTTAAAGAAAAAGCTTGAAAATCTTTAAATAAATTCTTACGATTAAATGTTTTCATGGAATATTACCTTAGGAACCACAACGCCAGCTTCACCTTGGATAGGCTCCACCATGAAGGCGCAGACGTTTGGATCAGCGAGAATTCGCTGGAGCGCCGGAAGATCGTCGTAAGGAATAATCTCAAAGCCTGGCATAAATGGCCCGAAGCCATTGTAGCTAATCGGATCGGTACTGGAGGAGAGGGCGCTCATAGTTCTTCCCCAAAAATTGCCTTCTGCGAATACTATCTTCGCTTGATTATGCGGTATGCCCTTACAGGAATATCCCCATCTACGTGCCAATTTGCATGACGTTTCGCCACCTTCCACGCCCGTGTTCATCGGTAGCCACTTATCATATCTAAGGTATGAAATATTTAAATATGAATAATTTTCCGTGATGCCATTAAGAATAAATATGATAAAATTGTACAACTATACACACATCTTTTCGAAAGAAATATTATTAGCTTTCTTTTTCAGCGGTATCGTCTTTATTTAATAAAGTCTCATCGCATTTTAGTTTTAAAATCAATTTTGTCTTATATATCTTGAACCTTCTTATTCCCGAAATATTAATAAGATTTTCGAAATAATTTTAAATGCACCTTATGTGTAGATTATACAGTTATCTATAGATTATTATATTACTTTTACTTTCACACATATTCATCCTCTGATCTCATACTCTGTTATCAATTAATCTTATCAATATATACTTAGGTTTCAAAGGTAGCACATTACATACCCGAAAAGTTTCGTAATATATTCTTCGAATTCACCCAAAATGTCGGAATAAAACGCTCTAGACGTCAGAGTTAAAGTCTTCGCTTGATCGATCATCGCTTTGTAAATTCTTGGATGGCAATGACCTTGATTAACCGCCGAATAAGCACTTAGAAAGTCAAAGTACCGTTTACCCTCGACATCCCACATGAAAACACCCTGAGCTTTGCACAGAGCCACAGGAAGTGGATGGTAATTATGAGCTCCATACTTAGATTCACGATCGAATACTTGTTGAGATGTAAGCTTTCTGCAACACTGAATGCTCTAAAAAAGAGATATTTAAGTTAATTCATCCTTAAAACATTTTAAAATATATATACATATACATTTAAAGCCTTAATAATAAAGTTAATTATATAGAGAGAAATAAAATTGAATCACTTTTTAAAAAATGATTTAAAAATAACATGTATGATTTTTATATATATTTAATATTATATAAACTATAATTATTTTATAAGACAAAATTTTTTTATATGAAAAATAGGGTAAAATTATTATTTATTATATATATTACCTGAGGTCGAGAGCATAATAGCATTCTTGCCGATCCTTTGATATTTAGTAGTGCTACTCTCGCTAATGGGTCCATTGAAGAAATTGTTGAGGTACTTGCTTGTTAAGGCGTACGACAATAAGCTGCGAAACCACGACCGAGAGATTTGATATTAGAGTTCTCTGGTTATAAGCTAAGTAGTCCGTTGTAAAGCGTTCGCGAACAGCTGCTGTTCTGTGCAGTAATTGTGATAAAGTGAAAGTTTGCCGCCGGAATCCAGCAATTTTATAATTTTGAAATATTACTTAGTTTAAATATTTGCCAAAAAGAAAATATATTTCTAATTTATCCATTTATCCACTTATCCCTCATTATCAATTTATTTACAATTTTTCTATTGAACGAGCTTTAAAACTATAGGAAATTATAGAAAATACACTAATAAATACACTAATAAAATACACAATAATAATTATATTATAAATTATTTAAACATTTTTCAAATTGTAGGACATTTCGTTAATCTATTTTTTTTAATCTTTCAAAGACCATAATTATAATACAAGGAATTTTAAGATCAGTCATATTAATTATTTTTATTTTCTAGATATCACTGGATTATGATGTTGGAATCTTTAAGTAATCAACGAACGAATTAATTAATTAACTTTAATTAACGGTTAACGATTGGAAATTAGATACCAAAAATTTAAAGAAAAATAATTTGTTAAATCATCTTCTATTTGTAATAAAATTTTTTGGTCAGAATTAATAACATTAATAGATTAACAAATGTATTAATTCTTACAGCTCACTGTCACTATAACGACACGTACACGAACCAACTTACCGCAGTAACTTTGGCGTATAAATGTGTGTTCTTCTTCTGCTTCTAGTTCAAGTTTTATTTATCTTAATCGTGCTACAGAATGTACTAAAGGATAACATCATACTATATACCTCTCGCTTACATGTACGTCAATACAAGTTCTATTACTTTCCCACCGATACATCTGTCCTTGTCGTGCATATTATCGCCGATAAGAGCAATACATTCTTATATAATACGCTCAATATATATGTATATATAAGGCGACTTTTATACAGAATAAATAAATAATTTTTGCAATTACATTCTTTGATAAATATATATATAACAGCGATTTTAGTTCCTGTGTAAAAAAATGTTGCTATTAAAAAACTGTCGCTATTATTGCATATTTTTGGTCGAAAGCAACCAAATTTTATTACTGCACAACTATATAATTATATATTCGATATACAGCAAAATTTATGTTACTGACAAAAAAATGTTGTGTTGGGTAATTTATTCATGTGTGGAAATATATATTTGCTGCGGAAGCAAAATTGTTTATCGTAAAATAGTCAACAACAAACTGTACTTTGCTGTTAAAAAATTGCTGTTATGACAGAATAAGAATCAATTTATTATTATAACATAAAAACACACACGTATATTTGGAATTATATCAACAATATGAAAATATTTATTTTAAGCACGATTAATCTCGTTGAGTTTATAAACCAGTTTTCGATCTATTTAATTGCTGTTTATGCAAATGAGAAAACTGCTAATTTTCTATTTGGCATAAAAAAAAAAATGGAAACTTCCATTAATTTAATAACTTTCAACTTGTTTGAGAATTCAAATGTATGTATAAGAGTCCGATTTTATTTATTATATTTATTTTTATTTTTTATTTTTATTTATTATATATAAGAAACATTTTCACGTTACTATAACATATTTCAATATAAAACTTATTTATATATTTGCAATTTGTATTATCACTAAAATTTTACTTAATATCAGTGTCAGCAAAGAAAATACTGAATCGTTATTTTATTAGCATAATTGGATTTATATATACTGTAAAATTATTTGTATCATTTGAGTACTATTATCGACTCAGCTATGCTTATATATTTAGCAATTGTAGATTCTTTCGCGCCAAAAATGCGCACGTGGATGCGCAAAGCGATTTAAATGAATTTGAATTTAACTGTTTGAAATGCTTGAAACGAATACTTGTTACCGATATCACCTACGAAAAACTCGGTGAATCTTTCATTCCAATACCTTTAATATTCTTTGACCAAACACATGGACGAAGATGACTATGAAACTCTCCGACAAAAAAATATATCCGAGAGAAATGCAATTGTAAGTATTTCTTTTTTTTTCATTCAAGAAAACTATGAATAACCTTACTTTGAAGAGAAAACTAAATCTTCCTTTGGATCATGGATGAAGAATATTTCGGTTATTTGTAATATAATGTATTTATATAGTTTGCAGATCTCTTCAAAGACATAAAGAAAGAAACGAGCGAAATTAAAAGACAAGAGAAGAAACGATTGAGCGATCATGATTCCGAAAACCAACCGTCCAAAAAAAGGCGCAGAACGTCTTCGGAAGATTTGGAAAATTTCAGTGGTAATGGAATACGTCTGCAGTTTCGTCGAACATATAACACTAGAAGCAGGAAAAAGGCATCCGGCAGCGATAGATCTAATGATTCTGAGAATGAGAATGAAGAAAACGATTTATCGGAATCCAAACGTCGTAATCGACCCAAATTGAGAGTTTTATTTCCATGGGCAAAGCCATTTCAACGCTCCATCGATTTAATGAAAATGGGTGTATGTGATGTGGATGAAGAAGAAGAAGAAGAAAAAAACATGTATGACGATGACAGCTTTGATGAAAATAGACGAGAACGAAGAACTTACAAAGTAACAAAATCAGTCTATGATCCTGAAAGTATTCCATCGGTGGATGAGATCACGCAAGAGATGTTAGACAATATAGCGAAGAAAAGTTCTCTGAAAACATATTGTAAACTCAATGGCACAAGCTGTCACCAGTGTAGACAGAAGACTTTAGATACAAAAACAGTTTGCAGATCAGGAGAATGTGTGGGTATTAGAGGACAGTTTTGTGGCCCATGTTTACAAGGAAGATATGGCGAAAGTGCTATAGAAGCATTAAAAGATCCGGTAAGTTTGACTTCTTATAATATTGGTACTGCATTGTAAAAACAGTGATTCAATCTTCATAACGTTAATTAATTACAATTTTTTAGGATTGGGCTTGTCCACCTTGCAGAGGCTTGTGTAATTGTAGTATATGTCGAACTAGAAGCGGGCTTTGTCCTACAGGAATTTTAGCCCCTACTGTACGGGAGGAAGGATATTCGTCTGTTATGGACTATTTGCAAGCAGCAGAAATTGATAATGCATAACGAAACATTCATCCATCGCATAATTAAGTACATAAGAAGATCAGCTATGTAAATATCAATATTGACTAACATTTCAGTGAAAGTTATAAAATTGAAAATTTATTTCATGTTTTAGCCATTTGTTGCATATTTTAATACATTGAATGTCGATTAAATTTTACATGTCTCATTTATATCAAAAATTTTTATCATTGAAAACAATTATAATATGACTGAATTTTTGTTCATATAATCATGCATAGTACATTTATCTCATTGGTAAATCTCTATGGCATTTATATATATTTTAACAAAAGTTTGAAAATTATTGATTCACGAAAGTGTTGTGATTTGTTATACAAGTATTTTAATTAGTTTGCCACAGACAAATCGATGTCAATCATTGATAGCATTCAACATGTTAAATTATTCATAATCATACTAAGCATGACAAATAATTTCTGTGAGTAAATTGATATTTGTATTATTAATTTGGTTAAATCTTTTATTCTTTTTTCCTCCATCTTTTCATATCTTCCATATATCATCCTTTTGTATTTATTACATTTATTTTATCATAAATATTGCATAACATCTGGGGGAGACCGTTGCATCAAATAAGCGTACTACAGCAATCTTCGAATGTTGGGCATTATTTTGTAGAAATATTATTCTGTCCAACATAATCGCTGCTTCCACCACTGAACTTATATATATTCTTAATATTTGAAAGAGATGCAACTTTGATTTAAAATGTATGTGATTCTGATATATTTCCTGCAATGCACGAGTAGATGGTATCTGAAATTATATATTCCATAAAATTTCTATAACATTTGAACAAATAATGAGAAAATAACTTTAGGTGTAATAAAAACCTGTTTATTATCTACTCCAATTTTGGATAAGGCCCATTTTGCATAATCTGGAAAATTATCCAATGGTCCACCACTACCAACTTTAGTATTATAATATCCTATTACAAATTATATAAGAAACATTTACATTATAGATCTTTTATAAAATAGGTATGTGTGTGTGTATGTGAGAGAGAGAGAGAGAACATCAATGAGTGTGTGTGTGTGTGTGTGTGTGTGTGTGTGTATGGGTGTATTTGTTTTGATACCCATAGAATGCAGAATAACTTGTAACACAGGTATGTGAGAGAGAGAGAGAGAGAGCATCAATGAGTGTGTGTGTGTGTGTGTGTGTGTATGGGTGTATTTGTTTTGATACTAACCCATAGAATGCAGAATAACTTGTAACACAGCTCTGTAAAATAATGAAGGAGAAAAATGTTTATTAAGTCTACTCCTTTCAATAGATTGTTGAGCCAACATTCTAGCATTTTTAGAGAAAATCCAACGTCCACTCAATGATTCATCTGTTAAATGATAACAACATGGGACTACAAAAAGCAGGTGAATGTCCTTTGCATGTAAAAAAGCTTTCATTACAGAATGCACAAGCATTCCACAAGTATGTAATCCTGTCAAAATCAGATTTCTATTTACACTCCAATCAGGATAATTTGTATTCACTATCTTGTTATAATCAGTTGTATCGTCTAACTCTTGAACTACATATCGAATCTAAAATAAAAAGACATTAAAAGTTTTTAAGATTGTGATAAACTGTAGAATAGAATTGAACATAATATTTTTCACAAACTTTTGTTAGCGATTGCTTTCTTTTTCGAATTTTTTCCTGACGATTTATTGCACCTTTATGGCAAGCTTGCGATGAATCAATTGCTAATACAGGAACATCAAAATGCTCTGATAAATATGTCGACAAATATCCTTTTCCAGCTCCAGCATCTATTACTAAACTGTGAGTGGAAAGTGCCATTTCGGCAATAATTTTTCCAAGAACATCAATTTCATATGATTTCTTGGTATTCATTAATTGAGACTTTGACTCAATAAATTTGTTTTTAATTGATTGTTCTTTACTAGGAAACTGCGGTAATAGTTTTAGTAAATCATCCACACATATAACAGCTGAACACGATTCTAAAGAAAGTGATCTTGTTAATTGTATGAAATTACTCAATTCGGGACTTGTATTATTTTCCATCCAAATATCGTCAGTTGTATTAATACTTTCGAGTTCTGATTTCAGTTTCCCTGGTAAACATTTGTCCCACAATTTTTCGGTAATAAAGTCAACCAAATGGCAATCTATCAATTCTTGATAAATACTAATAAAATTCAACGTTTTTTCAAAATAATTTTTGTATTCCGCCATTATCATTACATTAAAATTCAAGTTTTTCTGCTTCAGGATACAGTGAATTAATTTTTGCTAATGAACAGAATTTGGCATATTTACATTTAATATCTTCTACAGCTTTTAGAATGTCTAAATTATCATCTTGATGATCAGGAAAAGTACTGCGAATATCTTTCAAAAGCTTTTTGGCTATCGTTATCGTTTTTTCATCAGTATCATTATTTTGCAGATAATGTTCCAAGACTCCGCTGTAATATCCTAATTGAGCAGCGATTATGCTAGCTCTATGGTATCCAAGATGATATCCCTTTAACAATTGCTCTTTACCACTTTTGTATCCTTTCTCGTAGCCTGATTTCTGTGCAGTTTCTTCCGTAAATAATAAATCTTCAAAAGCTTTATTTATATCCAAATCCTTCTCTTCTTGAGACATACTTATATTAACACTGAAAAGATACATAATTATAGATTATACACATTATTTTTATCTTTTTATAATAAGATGATTGTTCCATTAACCTTTTTCCTTAATTATTAAAATGCAAAAGAATTTATATAAGAGAAATTATACAAAAAAATTACTTAAAAATCAAATTATAATAATATACATAAAAAAAAGTCTTCTAGATGTAATACTTATTACATAAATCAAATAATTATAGAGTAAACTATGTATGTATACATATATACATATATATATATATATATATATATATATATATATATATATATATATATATATATATATATATATATATATATATATATATATATATATATATATATATATATATATATATATATATATATATATATATATATATATATATATATATATATATATATATATATATATATATATATATATATATATATATATATATATATATATATATATATATATATATATATATATATATATATATATATATATATATATATATATATATATATATATATATATATATA